AAAAAGACAATAGAAAAATTTTGGACCTTTTTTTACAGAAATGGTACCTTTTTAAACCAATTTTGGTACAGAAAAAAATTTTCAAGTGGCAACCGTGCCTAGTTCACTATGTATTAAATCCATTTTCTCATTCCTTTCTCCCATGATTACTGGAATGAAGTTTCCACATTGCTGTGGAAATCTTCTCCTTTCATTCCTAAGAGGTGGCTTTAGTGGGTTCAAGTCTCACACTGTGGCTTTCGATGCCATTACTGTTCGAAATCTCTCTATCAAATACAATAGTTTCTATTAAGTAAAATAGACACCACCGTCGTAATTAGCGTTAACACGCAATTTAAAATAGTTCTAATAGCTTAACATAAAATATATGAAAAAAAGTGGACACGGATAAGGGAATATCTTACGAAGAGAAAACAATGTCTTTGCTAAACTGAAATTTTAGTAAAATCTATGAAATTTAGCAATTGGTCGCTGGTCATAAGGAATGTATAAGAATAGATTTGTTCACATCAAAACAAATTTATTTGCAGTAAAGTTTAGTATTCAATCACTAATTTATTAAAATAAAAAAATCAAAGTTAATATAGTTTTATTGCTATTTATTATAGAGCATACAATACCAAATGAGAATTATAAATACATACTTATTAATTTATACTTTATAGTGCTGTAAAACACTACACAGCACGGTTAAAAATTATGAACAATATACTATAAATAGAATTTATGGAGTGAATTGAAATGAAATACAAGTATTAATAATATTTTTAAATAACAGCGTCTTTTATAATAATTTGGTGTACGATGACGCATAAACTATATTAGTATCTTACTTTTCCTCTGAAAATTATTAAATTTAGATTAAAAATTACATTAAATTTATCTTTTCGAAATCTTTTTAATAAAAGATTTTTGTATTCACGTATTGGGAAGAATGATGATATCATATCTTGTTGATTTCAATTATTTAAGATTGAAATTCTCAAAGATTGTGTAATCTCTGAAATCGCTCAAATATACAAATAAGTTATGTTACAAAAATATATATAAAATTTAATAGTAGTTATGTTTATTTACCATATATATTCAGTGTTATAGGCAATAAATAAATACATTTATATAATTAAGATCTTTTAAATTTCATTGAATCTGGCGCTCTCTTTCTTTTTATTCAGCAATAAACGTTGCAGTTTAGCCATTAAAGTACTTGACTTAGCCACCTAAAAAACTGTTTCAAATAATAAAATTATGATTTATTTGAATTTAGAATTACAATTCTTTCACACATACAACTACTATGAAAAGGACTTTAAAATTCCTGAGTATACTAAGCCATTTAACTGGTTAAATACAAAGTAATAAGTTAAATCGCATATTTCCGGTTATTTCGAAACATATTTTTTATGCAATTATTGTTTTGAATAAAACTGTTAAATAAAACAATTGTTTTTAATATATTAAATATATATTTAATATAATATATTTAATATATATACGAGAGCGGTTTTATAAGTCAGTGACTTTTTGAATAAAACAAATTTTTTTCGGCAAATAAACATTTTATTTTTCTACATAATCACCTTTTAGCTCGATACATTTAGTCCAGTGATTTTTTAATTTTCTTATTCCCTCCAAATAATAGGTTTTCTCAAAGCTCTTAAAATACGCGTTTGTTTCGGTAATGACTTCTTCATTCGACTCAAATCTCTTACCGCCCAGCCATTTCTTCAGGTTTGCAAACAGAAAATATTTGCAGGGGGCTAAATCTGGGGAATATGTTAGATGGGGTAGCAGGTCGTATCCCAATTCATGGATTTGGGATCGTAATGCTTAATCAGCACACGAAATTCACTTTTTTCCATTTTCGTAAAAATCACGAGGTTGTCTGCTTTGAACGGCTATGAAACACCAACTGAACGACATACATTGTGACCGAAAAGTTTCCGGTCATAAATAAATAAAACGCAAAATTCTTAATCTTCATCAATATTTATTTTATCTCCTTCAAAATATGCTCCATTAGAAGCAATACACAAATGCCAACGTTTCTTCCAATCATCAAAACATTTTTTATAGGCGCTTTCCGGTATGGCTTTGAGTTCCCTCTGCGAATTCTGTTTTACGTCTTCTATGGATTCAAAACGCGTTCCTCTGAGTGGTAATTTGAGGTTGGGAAACAGGAAAAAGTCACACGGTGCAAGATCAGGTGAATACGGTGGCTGTTCGATGGTATTTATTGAATGTTTGGCCTTAAAATCGTTGATAATGTTGAACAAATTGAGGTGAATCGGAACAAGCCGGGCGTTGACACGTCGCATACACAAATTGTCCACCAAAATCAAACGAGCCATCTCACGACCGATGCCTAGCTCTCGTGCTATCTCTCTAACACTCACATGAGGATTTTTGAACACGATTTCCTTTGCCTTTTCAATGTTTTCGTCGGTGGTAGAGGTCGAAGGTCGTCCAGAACGCGGCATGTCTTCGACGGTCGTACGACAGTCCTGAAAGGCTTTGTACCACTCATAAACTTGAGTTTTCGATAAAACTGATTCCCCATAAGCCTTTTGTAGCATTCGCAACGATTCTGCACACGAAATTTCGTTCGAAAAACAAAATTTGATGCAAACTCTTTGTTCAATATTTTTTTCCATTGTTTTTTTCGCAACGCACTACTGAGGTGAACTGGTTTCACAAGCTGCCGTAAACGAACTGTCTGACAGATCGCGCTCATTTTTGGCATAGTAATTAAGGACAGTGCTGCCAAACTACATAAACTTAAAATATCGAAAAATATACAGCGCGCGAATTTTAAATGAGAACCTCCGAAAACCTTTCGGTCACAATGTAGCTTGCTCAGAATTAGAAAGGTGCCCACTGGTAGATTATAGCTGATGGCACCATTGTTGCATTTGTAGTAACTGCGCGAGAAATTCAAAAAGTCACCGACTTATCAAACCGCCCTCGTAGCAAATATATATATAAATATATTAATATATTTAATTATCTTTGGAGAAAGCTAACTTTAAGTCAGCAATAGCTAGACAATAACCCCTTTTTATACTTTTTCAATTTGGTTTGATATTTATTCCCACAAACGGGAAATCTTTTCATTTGTTGAGACTTTAAAGCATGCTTTTCGTAACAACTTGAGTTTTTAGCTTGCTAAATTTGTTACAAAGGTATTTCACTCTTACACACAATCTTCTAAGCACTTATTATCCCAGCCATATATTAACAATTTATTCTATATTCACAAGAACGAGCACGATCTTCTCAATTTTTCTACTATTACTTTAAATAAGAAAATAGTCACTTAACTAGGACTAAAGTTCTCACCTGATCGGCATACCAAAGTTGACCCGTGCTTTCATCTAGTCGACCTATTGTTGATACAGCCCAATGAACAAATGCTTCTGGATCTGGAGTGAATAATTTAGAATCCTTTAAAATAGCATTACAGATTTGTATAGTTTTTGTAGGCACCAAACATGGTAATACGTGTTGCACATGAACTTTAAAACGGCGAGATTCCTGTTGTAAGGCCAAAGTTAATTTTCGATTATAGATCTTTGTGATATCATAAAGTGCGCTAAAAGGAGTACTATAAATCTCCAAACAGGAAGATATATTGACAATAGCTGCTTTACTGTTAGTGCAATACATGCGCTGTAAGAAATAACGTGACAATTCTGTTACCGCTTCAATATTAGTATTCAGTATAACTGTTAGTTCTTCTCTGGTAAGAGAACACATATTTCCAACATCATAAACTGCCACTCCAAAGGCGTTCACTTTAAACAATATAAAAAATCTACGTCATACAGACCTCTGTAATTTTTGTTCATATATACTACCAAATAATCCGATTGGAATTGTGTCCAGAACTTGCTCGATATTTTTGAATGTTTCCAATCCTTTTGAGAAATCAGCTACTATAATTCTTACTTGCACTTTGAATTCTTCTTCTAGTAATATAATAAAGAAGTAAATGACAATTCAGTGTTTGTTCATATTAATGCAAACCTATATCAGCTGCTAGTATTTTTAGTTTGGATTCCATTTTTGAGATAAGCACTACATTAAATCCATTGCAAGCCAGTTCTTTAGCATATAGTTTACCGATACCATTTGTGGAACCGGTAATTACTTAACTCCAAAACAAAATTATAGTTTTAATCTGATGAAGAACACATTTCTTCTTACCTGCCCATTTACCGTATCTATCAGTAAGACCTTCAAGTGTATGTCCTAGAAATTTTTCTTTTATAATGTCGCGTATTAATTTGTATATAGGTTTTAGATTTATAGACAAATAACGATAAAGTGCATAAACACCTATTAAAAATATAACTTTTGCAAGATAACTAAGCATTGTTCCCTTCAGCAACTACAAGTTCAGATATAAATGCATCTATACTTCGAGTTAAGCTTTCCAGTAAACTTATAGTTTGCTTATAAATTTAAAAAACAAAATCTATTATAGATATCATGATAGATACTTTTTATCATAAATAATAATTAGTTTGTTAAAATTACGATATAATTAATTTATTGTCATTTATTATTAGTGAATATTACTGTCTTATTACTGTCTTACTATATAAATACATTTGAAAATAAAATGTTAGTTATTTTATTTTTTTCCAGTTATTAGTTTTTACTATGTTTTTTTTTTACTTTCTATAGCTATTATTATAGTTACTTTAAGTACTATATCTCTTTAGTTAGGTGTAAGACTTTACTGTTGATTTAAGTAATAGATATTAATTACATTCTTCAATAGTCTAACTCTGTTTAATTTAATAATGAATGTAATTACATAGAACGTTGAAATTGCAGAGCATAAATTTAGCTGGAAAACTGGATTTTAAATTATTTTCAATCTTATTTAAAAAACTTGTCAATCATGTGATTGTAAAAATCAAGTTTCAAAGTTTGTGTCACACCTTTATTATTTTTAAAAATATGCGGAACTATTACTCCTCTAGATGAAGTACCACACATCATATAATAATTTATTCTGGAGGCAATAGTGTTCCGACAGATAATTGCTTCACTGTCTCACATGCACAATATTGTTGATATATTCATATTGTAAAATGTATTTCAAAATCTATCTACTACGAATCACTACTTTTGTAGCATAAGTGATGTGACAGAAAAAGTGCTGTCAAATCTAAACCACAAAATAAACAACTTCTCACATAAACGAAAATACATAAGTTGAAAGCAAGGTGGTAACCTATAAGATTTCCATCAGAACAAAACATGGGTAAACTTATACAAAACAACTCAGATACACAATATCAGATCACAGCAAAACTGTATTATGTCTAAAATGACCTTTTTACGCATTATAACAGAATATATGCTTATTCATGATCTCGTATAACACGTTCGGTAAAAGTACAGTTTTAAAAGTATAGTTCGAAAAGAGAAGTTCGAGAAGTATATTTCGAAAAGTATATTTCTAAAGGTATAGTTCGAAAAGAAAAGTTCGAAAAGAGAAGTTCGAAAAGTATGTTTCGAAAAGTATATTTCCAAAAGTATGTTTCTAAAAGTATAGTTCGAAAAGTATAGTAACAGTGCAGAGCGGCTTTAACAACATACATTTCGAGTACTTGTATTTTGTGTTTGGCACTTCACACAATGTTACCATGTTAGATCGTACTCAATTGGTGTATTTATAGGGCTTTATTACTTATATAAACATACTGTAAATAAAATATTACCCAAATAAAAAAAAAATATCATTTGCCCAGACGTCGATATTGCCAGTTGTTTTATTATATTGCATCTGCTTCTCAAGTACAATAATAATAACCAATACCTTTATAAATGCAGTTTCTGTGATTCGATTTCCTCATCTAACCGTCTTGTTAGACGTTTGGTCAGATATACCGCAAATGTCACTATTGTTAACAATATATCAGAAAAGTGCAAAAACAAGAAGTTTGGCGAGAAATAATGTCAATTTGCTGAAGTTCCTCCGTCCAGCTCATTGCCTGAAACGCCCAGTAAGTTATATACTAAGAGTATGGTACTCTAATAAATGCCTCGTAGAATCTGTCAAAATGAGAGCTTGGATGAAATTATTTTGAACATTAACACACCGTTCGGTTCTCTTACAGACACGTTTAAATTATTGAGTGACAACGCCGATTAGCGCGGTGCAAGTTATCATTTTTGAATGTCATGCAAGTTGCGCTCTCTCTTACTCACACTCAAGAGTTGTCATTCAAGCAAAATTTTTAAAGAATAAGATTGTTTACGCACACTGTAAGTGTGTTAGTGCAACCATGCAAAAATATGCTCTTGAATGACGAATGCAAGTTTTTGGGTGATAGACTATCATTCACAACATGTTAGCGAGAAGCTGAATGATGTGCTCACTAAAATTTTGGTGAGCACGCTAACATGTTACTTGCGTGTCATTCAAAGTGTCATTTTTAAATTTTCTCTCTTGTATGACATTCAAAAATGATAGTCTGCACCGCGCTTTTGGTTTATATGAAACCTACATATATAACATCAATGAAGGAATTGCCATAATAATAATATTAATAAAAAATAACATAAATTACTGTTTTAATTATAATTAATTAATGTTATTTTTATTAATAACACTAGTTTTTATATATTAAATAAATCAAATATAATAAACAATTTGAAAAATGATATAAAGTCATTTTAGTATATAAATTTAATCAAATCAAATTAAAACTTTAATTTAAACTGTTTAAATATAATATATATATTTTTTAAATATATATTATATGTTTATAATATATATATATTTTTTTCTTTATTATAAAAAATAAAATTGTATCCTTTAAGTACGAGTATATGTTGTAATAATGAGAATATACAAAGTGAAATACATACATCCATTTGTATCCAGTTTGGTAACCGCTGCAAATATAAAATTACAAAAAATTTAATTAGAAAAGTCAAATGGAAAACCAGAGAACTACCGACAACCATAGCGATACCAGGAACGTGATATCAGCGCTAAGTGTGTAAACTTCATTACTGCGGACTAACTAATTAATGATAATTAAATGTGAATACTCGTACAAAGGAAATGTGTATTGAATGTGACAGAAAGCGATGTATTTTGCAGTGTACGAAATGGAATTTCTACAAAATTTTTACAAAAATACGTGAAGAAAATGGCAAAGCATATTCAATTCCAGTATTCTAGCGAGGATAATGGAACTGCGAAGTGCACGAAAGGCCTGAAGTTATTGCTTCCATTTTAATAATTGTTTTTTTTTTATGATAACGCATTTCTGAAGAAAAAATTCGACAGCACAAAAATAAAATAATTCATTTCTGTATACATAATCACTTCGATTATAATAAAAATATTGATATTATTAAAAATATTCAAAAATTGTTTGAATTATATCAAAGCTTGATAATATTAAAACTTATATATATTATTTTATTGCTATTGTATTTGAATATATTGTGTCATTTATATCATTTCTCGCTATTTCGTTATTTATACTTCAGAAAAAGTTTAGCTATTCCAAAATTAAAGTTCTTGATCATAGGGTTTAGTATTTATAAAATATTTTTAATTTTATGTAATATATGTTTAGTAACACTAATTAAAAGTAAAGCCGAAGCTATATAATTTTTTTTATCTTTTTATCACTAATAAAAGTATCTTTAATGAATTTTTGTGGTTCCTGCAAGTTTTATACAATTTAAAATTTTTGGTTGTAATATAGTGTCATCAAAAATGACCTTTTTTAATTTTTAGCTTTCTTCTCTGCACTTATTCAGTTTCATCTGACATATTGCCATACAAAATTTACCAAAAAAACATATATATGTATATCTAGCTTATTTAGCTGTGTCATAGTTAACACAAATGTTATTGGCTATGCAACCAATACACAAAAATAGATAAAAAACGGGATAGATAAAAACGGGAATCATTTTGAAATTATTTCTATTTTTCAATCTCACCTCTTTTCAATGTGTTATAATGCAAATCTATTATATGGGTTTATGGCTATTAGGAGAGGATAAATTCTTGCAATTAATTTAGGTTATTTAGACTTTGAAGTGGTGACCGTGTAGATAAAGTCCATTAAAATTCAAATCTTGGCACAGGCCAATCTTGTGGTTTGTTCATATATAGACTAGAGGTCAGCGTACCAGCAGTGCCGAAAAGGCAATGACTTTCAAACTAGATAAGACAATTCTATAAACTTGGCTAAGTATCTAATTTGACAGAATGACAGCTCAGTCAAGTCGATAAGAAAAGGGGCAACAAAGTTTTCAGATCTTCACCTGGTTGAACATGAATACAGACACATGAGTTGTCAGAGAGCTTTAGAACATCATAATATCACATATCAGATTAATGAAGTCTCAGTGACACATATGAAGTGGTGATATATATAAATCTTAAGTGTGTCGACTGTTACGTAGGTAATAGACCATATAAAACTTTATCTCTGCAAATGAAAGATATTAACAATACAGTATTAAATTGTCTAAAATTAATAATAATTTTATGTAGTTCAAGAAAGCAAATATTAGAGCAACAGGACATTTAGAAAACAAATATGAACACAAATTAAAAAATAAGCTGTACTAATAAGTGAACTACAAGAAGGCTCACTACATATGACTTATGAGAAGTAAAAATTCTACTGATACTGATTCCATAACTCAAACAAACTACAACAGGTATTAAAGTTATTAAGATGCAACAGCCATTACTTCTTACACGATACTACTAACTCAAGCTAAAATTGTACTAAAAATATTGTGTATAAAAATTGGATTAGGAAAAAAATTTATAAAAATACACATATTAGGTATTTCCTACCCACAATAATCTAATATTTCATTTTATAAATGCTACTCACATCTCATAAAAACTAACAAACAAAAAAAGAAAAACCTGAAAACGTGCAAATAAAATTTTGCACAGCAATGCGCGTATATTTTTTTGTTACCCAAAAATATGCAAAGAAAAATTTGTATAAAGAATGAACTGAAATTTATTAAATTCCTTCGAAGACTTGAAGGAAGAAATATTCCAAATAGTAAAAAAAGAACTCTGTTTCCTCTCGTCTGCTATAAATATAAGCGTACGCCTTGCCTGTCAACATCTACTAACCCGCGTCGTCATAAAATGGCAAGTTCCTTTCAATGATATTAAAGAAACGCTCGTGCTTGCTAGACTTCTTCGTAGACTCCTTTAACTTTCATGCAAAATAATGCGAAATTTTTGCTTTTTGCGAGTATCGTAAAAATTATTAGATGTCATCAATGAAAGTGCAGACAAACTGTGCTTGTGAAAGTGCCAATTTAGAGCTTTTTATTTTTATTTTGCTTCTCTCCGACTTAATTTCGTACAATTTGTCATTTGTGCTTATTTAATGTCTGTTGTCCTTTGGCATGAAAACCTTTCATTTGCCTAATGAACAGCTATTGTAACAGTTTATAGCAACAACAATGCGGACATTTCAAATGCCTATCATTGGATGTATGGTACTGAATTACATTCCGATTTTACGATTCGCGAACTGAGCTTAAGTTGTACCAATGAAGTCATTAAAGCAAAGAGATAGAACCAGCTGAGAATCGAAGAATTTGACAATTTGTAAGTTATTTTAATTTTGCAAATGGAATTCGCACTGTATATTAGAAATGTGTTCAATTTAAGGTTGATTTATATGCAAGACATTATCTGTTCTTTTTTAAGTGGCGGTTAACTATGGAATCATTAAAGTCTAATTGTGCATTCCATGGAAATGTGTCTATTGCGTACAAAAGCTATTAGCAAAAGCATAATAATTTATTGCTTTTGGTACTAAAATCCTTTTCGTATAATTACAATATTATTTATCTTTTGCTTTGTATAATTCTACAAATATTTTTTT